CAAATATGTCACAAACTAATTTGGAGTGAAAGGGGAAGGGGCCGGCTGGGTTATGGGAGCATTAATGATTTGATTGGTGGTTTAATTGGGGCATTAATTGGCTAGGAGAGAGAGGCTTGAGATTTAAGTACGTGGGGACCACTAGTAATTAATCAAAATCTGAATTTTTATTTCAGATTTTAATTGCCTCATGTAACTCCCTAATTTAAATAAATTTAGGAGGAAATTTGAATTTCAAAAGATTGTAACTCCCCTTAATTAATTCCCTAATTTAATTTGGCTTAATTAGGAAAGTCATTAATGAGGGAAATTCAAAATTGGAGGAGGGAGAGGGATTTCCAAACATGAATGATGACTAGGAAAATTCTAAATAAATCCAAATTAATTTAATTTATAATTTGAATTCATTCAAAAAATTTCCATAAATGGAACTTCCCAATTTGGAAAGAATTTGAATTTTAAATTTCAAATTCCAATGAAGGCTAGGGGAGGGAGGCGTGGGGGAAAATGGCGGCGAGGGGAGAGGCCGGCGGCAAGGTGGCCGGCGGGTGGAGCTAGGGTGGCCGACGGGTGGAGCTAGGGTGGAGATGCTAGTGGAGGTTTCGGCTTCTTCCACTCTTGACTTGGCTCGCGGTAGTCAATGGAGGAGAAGAAGAATGTGCATGAAGAGGGGAGAAAGGAGATAACCAAAATATACGAGAAAGATAGAGATAACTAACGAACTCACATAGAGATCGTAAGAACCGCGAACCTCGGACTCTTCCAAAGATTGACGGGTATTGCGAATTACCCTCCTTGGGCTTCTCCTCTCATGAACACACTAAGAGATCACGTGAACTCACTAAGAGATCAACAAGAACATAAAACTTTTCATTATTAATAATCATCATCCCTTTCCAAGAGGAAGGGGAGGGCTTAAATAGCCAAATACACGAGAGAAAATAAAAGACACAATTGCCCCTAGGGCAAACATAAAACAAAGCCCTCAAGTGAGGGTAGAAATAGAAAAGTACAAATAACAAATAAAATACATGAAAATAAATAGACATGATCGTAGCCGTTGATCTTCGATGTCCTCATCAGTTGTGGATTGGCAGCTTTCCCTAGATGTTGATTAGTACCCATGCTTATGAAGCTCTTAAACATATTAATGAAATAACCCTGGGTTAATCTTTGTTCAGCTTCACCTTTGGACTTGAGCCAAATAAACCCCAATTGTTGTCATGTTTGGTTTCTTGATGATGTTCTATTCAACATGATACTGTTCACCCTGCCTAAATTTGGTCTTTCATATGACATTTGCAAGATTGATGTACCCTAGTGTATGCTTTTTGTGATTGTATTCTTCTTGTTGATAAGATTATAGAGATTGTTGAAGGAAAACTTGAATTATGAAGGTCAACCTTAGAGTTTAAAGGTTTTTGTTTGAGTTTATCTAAATCAAATACATGGAGTGTAATTTTAGTAGTATTAGATCTAATGGGGGGATTGTGACTTTGGGCAGTTAAGTCATTAATAAGAGTACATGTTTTAGATCTTGGGTCTATTGTTCAAAGTGACCGTGAAATAGTTGGGGATATTATTAGTAGAATTCAAGTTTGATGGTTGAAGTGGAGGAATGCATTAGGCCTATTGTGTGATAAAAAAGTATCCCTCAAACTTAAAGGAAAGTCATATAAGATTGTGGTGAGACTTGCAATGCTTTTATGGCATAGAATGTTGGCCATTACAAGAGAAGCATAACTGTAATTTAAGTATTGCAAAGATGAGGATGCTTAGGTGGATGGGTGGCCTCACTCTTAGAGATAGAATATGAAACGAGTATATACGTGAAAGATTGGAGTAGCTCCAATGGTAGATAAGATTAGAGATAGTCACCTTCGATGGTTTGGACACATAAAATGTTGGTTTTCTGATGACCCATTCAGGTGAGTAGATATATTAGATGTTAGGTAAGGTAAAGGTAGATCTGAAAGACTTGCTTAGAAAATATTATAATAGTATCTTTTTTATTAGATTTAATTAAGAATTTGACTCTTAACAGGATATAATGGAGGAAAATGATACATGTTGCCGATCTCACGAAGTAGGATAAAGGCTTGATGTTGTTGTTGTTGTGTACACTTATTTCTCTTCTCACATGTCACATGTTCTAGTTTACCTAAATCTGTCATCTTACTACTAATAACATTCAACATAATTTTTTTGGAGCTCGAGATGATTATGATAATACCTAATTGCCATTGCATTTTTCTTCACAGAAAACATGCTGTTGAATGAGGATCAGAGAACAGTGAAATTAGCTGATCTTGGCTTGGCAAGAGAAGAAACTTTAACTGAGATGATGACATCCGAAACAGGGACATACCGTTGGATGGCTCCAGAGGTTTTTCTGTTCTAAGAGTCATCTTGTTACCTTCCTTCAGAATTGAAAATACCTAACAAAAAACTTATTTGTGCAGTTGTATAGCACTGTCACTTTAAGGCATGGAGAAAAGAAACATTATAATCACAAGGTTGATGTTTACAGCTTTTCTATAGTATTATGGGAGCTTCTACATAATAAACTGCCATTTGAAGGCATGTCAAACCTTCAAGCAGCCTATGCAGCTGCTTTCAAGGTAATTTCTACCACATCAGTCTCTTTCTCTGAAAGCTCTTACAGATCTGCAATTCTGTTTCCTAACTGAATTTCTGTGTATAATCTTGCAGAATGCCAGACCCAGTGCAGAAAACCTTCCTGAAGAACTGGCAGTGATTTTAACTTCTTGCTGGAAAGAGGACCCAAATGCACGTCCCAACTTTAGCCAAATCGTTCAAATGCTTCTGCACTATCTTTCTACTCTTTCACCGCCCGAGCCTGTAGCTCCTCCATGCTTTTTTGGGCCTCAGAACGTTGGCTTACCGCCTGAGTCACCTGGAACAAGCTCTATGGTTGCTATCCTCCCTCGTGATGGCATGGGTGGCACTCCAAATAGTTTGTCTGAGGGTGAAGGAAAGGGATTTTTTCCCTGCTTCAACTATTGCTGTTAATCTTCAAAAAAAAATCCAATCCCGTACAGGCTGTTGTTTTGCTTTACCTTCTGAAAACTTTTCGAGGGAATTCGATTTCTAGGCTCTGCTAGCTAAGCTATGCTACTTGATCATATATGTGGAAGTAAGTTCTATTCAAATGGCTTTGATGAAGTGGCTCAAAGGAGGCCTTGAATCTGAAGTTGCTGCTATTTTCGGAGAGATCACAATATCTGTAGAGTTAGGAAGCTGTTCTAGTACTGAATGTATTTTATAATGTTAATAATCAACAAATTAATCATAATAACCATTGCGTTACTCGAACTTTTTTGGGGCAATTTTATTTATTCATATTATATAAGATTTCAATTCTTTTGAATCCAGGTTTATCTCATGGATAATACCTGACTTTATTAGTTGACTTTATTAGTTGATTTGTATGTTAAGCTTGAAGACTCTTTTTGTCAGATTTTTTTTTTTTCAATTCATACGTAGTTACACGCTAGTTTAGGACATGTAGGTACATCTGATTGATTGTAAGAGGATGAAGTTAATGAATTGGAAAGCCGGTATGTCATATGGCGTGTAGTTTTCGAGGAAGTCTTGAGATATGAACTTGTAGTCAATGGGTAGTTGTGAGGCTGACGAGTGACATTGAAAATTTGTTGATACCTTGTTGACGAAGGAGAGTTGAATTATTTGGCATGAATGAGTTCCTGAGTCTAGTAAGAGTTGTAGTTGAATGAGGGAGGGATGGGAGCTTGATTGAGATGAAAGTGATAAGCTGTTAGTTTGGCGAGGAGGTTTTTGTTTCTTGTGTAGGGTGACTTCCTGAGTTGGTACGGGCGAGTGACACCTTCTCCTAAGGCAAGTTTCTCTGATAGCCATGAGAAAGTCTTTTAAGGCATTTGCTCTTTAGAGGGAATATTCTTGTCACGGATTTGTCACTACCTGAGAAGATAATTCAGGTGTACATTTAGTTCTCTGATTTATTCGACCCATTGACAGGTGAGGTGTTAGAAGGGTGAGTGAATGATTTTAATAATGGCTATCTAACGAAAATGATGAAATAAATTTAAATTTATTTTGTTGCATTTATGGTAGTCTCAAAAATCGTATTAAGCGTTAACTTTATGATACTGACATCTCTCTAATGTCATTTTTGTATGACACTTTTGTATGGAGCAGTGGGTAATATTTAGGCTCTTTCCTCATTTTTAATAGAGCTTAGAAGCTTTTCGGTGGTCTCTGGGCATTAGCGAATCATATCACAAACATTTACTTGAACTTAGAAAATGAGGTGATCATTATCAAGGTTAGGTGAGTGAACCACTTAAGGGTTGACTCCCTGTGTGTCATAAAGTAGAGGTGGTACTTAAGGTCGTCATTTATGCTTAGTAGGGAAGTTATAGACTCAAAAGTGGGCACAATATTAATGGGCTCAGTCTTGCCTTAATATGACTCTAAGTAGGGCAATTTAAATTTGAGATTTAGCCCCACTTTGACGATTTCACTTAAAAAAGGCATTGTTCAACTTTAGATCCTCCTTCCTAGCTTGTCTGGTCAGTGGGCTATAATCATCATCACTTGTCTCGATGCAAGTATGGTAAATATTGGGTGTAGAGGCGAGTGCCCTGTCAGAGTATCTCTAACGATATGCCGAATCAGATGATCCCTTATGCATTTCTCCATAATGTGATATTCCTATAGAGGGATACCTAATGCCTCCATAATTATTTTCATAAGTCATTTTTCCATCTCTTATAAATCCTGATTAGTGGTGTATTCCACATTGTCCATGTTTGTTTTCTTACTGACGTCACTTATCAAATAGAGCCTATATTCTAGTAGTTAACATCAGTTCACGCTCATCACTTCGAAGAAGATGTTGAACCCATATTTTTTTAGTAGATGATGCATGACTTTACTAGCATATTTACCTATTAAGCTCAAGGAGCTATTGGTGAGAATGGAGGGTGGAAAATAATAGAGGACATTGAACTCATAGGATCTTCACTATCTCAATGAAAATTTTAAGAGTAAGTTCAGAGCCTTTAAAACATCCACCAACCAAATCATTCTTCACGTAGTTCTACAGTAAAAGGCTACACGGGGAAGTAGGAATATGATCCATGCAAAAAATACTCATACAATGCTACAAGTTTGTCTAGGACACATGGAGCCACTTGATATGCTAGAGGAGGATGAAGCCAATAAAATGGAGAGTTATATGTTATTGGGCGAGTTCAGTAAGGGTTGAGTAGCTATCGAGCAAGTCTTGAGAGATGGACTCATAATGACATTGAGAGTTCAATGTCATCTGTTGAGGTAAGAGAGTTGAGGTGTTTGTTGGGGTTGTAGTTGAACTAGTAAGGGGTTACTGAGATAGGCACTTTCTTTTAAATGAGTTTGGTGAGCTCGGTGAGCTCAAGGGATGTGAGCTTGGATCAGATGAGTGATGATCTGTTTGTTTGGTTAGGGGCATTCTGGTTGCCCAGTGTAAGGTGAGTTTCTAAGTGGGTATGGTTGAGTGATGCCCTCTCATTGGGCGTGTTCCTTTGATGGATGTGGGAAAGTCCCTTAAGGAATTTACTCTTGAGGAAGAATATATTTGTCACAACTTGGTCACTACCTGTAAAGACATATGAGAAGACAATTGTAGATGTACAAATTTCATTTTACACAAGAAAGTTGTTGACCTATATACTAAAAACACAAAACAGAGGCGAGTTTGACAACTTAAGTGATGTTTGGCGGGTGCATTATGTCAATTAAGTGTTCAAATGACTGCTGATCACCAAATGGATTGCATCGTTGTGATCAGAGCATTTAATTTGACCAAGAGGGACCACTTCATAATTAAATTGGGTAGAAGTGGTTGAAATCAACGACCAACACCCAAAATTGACCTGTGATGCTGCCTAAAAAACATCTAATTGTAAAACGGACTTTGTCGTGACATTAGAAACGTCAGAGTCATCTAAAATTGACTATATTTTTGCTCAACAAAAATCGCACGAGAATATTAGTGGAAAATCTAAAATTCACACATCCTAGGGAAAATATGCATGGATTTCAAGAAAATGAATGCAAGGAATCGACTAATGAATTTTGTGGTGTGAATTATTATTTTATTTCTATTATCCTCATAATAATAATTTTAATAATAATGAATTTATTATTAATAAGAAAATCAAATCAATAAAAAAAATTTTGGACATTCTTTGCCGACTCCATCCAAATCCTCAAAATCCTAGATATTCAGTTCGCGCTCCTTCTTGAAATCCTGTGTAAATCCCTCGTCTCGATCGCACTGCCGCTCCCCTGGCTTTTTTGATGAAACGAGAATGAAACAAATCTTTACATTTCTTCGATTTCATGTGCTATCAACTGAACATCATGATCCTTGCCTTCTTCTTCTTCAGTCCACTGTCTGACCCTTTTGTTTAACCCATCAGCCTCTTAATCCAAATGCTCTAGACCATCTTTTCAATCCAACTACTTACTCGATGATCAACATCCTCCAAGGCGACACTCCGACCTCTACGAACTGAGCCCGACCCTAGCCTCCAGATCGCGCGATCGACCCTGTCAAATTCTTCCGCCTCTTCAACAAGCCGAGGTCCACAATCCCCACAACCCTCTTGCACTCGATCCTTGCCCGATCTCCATGAACCTGATGTCAATCAAACCTCACGCATCGAGCCCGTCTCCTTTCTGAACATCCCTAGCGACATATCTCGCTCACCTTCAGCCGAGCAACTCCCGATCCTCCATCCACACCAACTACAGCCGGTCCCGAACACCACAGCTTGATAAAGTAGTAGAACCTCCAGCAGCTCCCAACCTTAGCCCGTCGATTCCACACAGCTGAGGTGATTGAACCACTGATATGAGTTTTACTCCCTTACTTGAATACTCGACCACGAGCTCCGGTCAGACTTGAACCTCCTCCCCCCCCCATGGTCCCTTCTTTTAAGAACAATTATTACGGCCTCCGACCGGACGTAGAGGAACGTTCGGTCGGAGGCCAAATCCCGCCAAAAAACGAGTTGTACCGAGCAAATACCGATCAATACCAAACAATAACGAGGAATTCCATCATTTGAAGACCCAATACTGAGTTATTCCGAGCTAAACCGAGAAATACCTAGTTATACAAAAGTTGTACCGAGTTTTTCCTAGAAAAACTCGGTACAACTCGGTATTTCTTGGTACAGCTCGGTATAACTAAGTATTGGTCTTCAAAGAGCGGTATTCCTCATTAATATCAAATAATACCTAGTTGTACCAAGCAAATACCGAGTTTTTTGACGGGATTTTGCCTCCAACCAGACGTTCCTCTACGTCCTTACACCGGACGTAATAAAAATCCTTCTTTTAAAGTAGTATTGAGCTAGGGTACAATAACAAATTTGTAGAACGATTTTCTTATTGCAAAATTTTGTTGCGTATTAATTGCATATGTATTGCTTATTTGTTTGATATATATTTAGTATTAGTTGCATATTTGTTTAGTATACATTGCGTATTTGTTGAATTTTTATTGCGTATTGGTTGCGTATATGTTGATTATTGTTTTGCTTAATTACTGCTTATTTGTTGCGTATGTATAATTCATTTATTGCGTATTTATCAGGATGTTTATGTTAATGAGAAAGAGGCATACGAGGCTTATTGTAATTATGGCCAAAATCTTGGCTTTAGTGTTCGTGAGGATCATTACAGTTACTGGCCAAATTCCAGAAATTTAAAATCCAAGGACTTTGTTTGTTCAAAAGCTGATTTCAAGAAGTTGCCTGATCTTAATATTCAAAGGAAATATCAAAAATCAGATACCCGAGCTGGTTGTCCAGCCATGATTAGGTTTACAGTGGATGAAGTTGGATATTGGAAGGTGAAAAAATTTATTGAAAATCACAATCATGATTTGCCTAGGCTAGAAGACCGGCGTCTTCTTAGATCATGCAGGAATGTGTGTGATGAAAAAGCTTATGTTCTTAAAGCAATGACAGAAGCTGGGATAAGAACCATTGATGCATTTTCCTTCCTTACTTATGAAGTTCGAGGTGTCGAAAATATTGGATTCACAAGGAGGGATGCGTACAACTTTATTCAAAAAATAAAAAGAGTAAAGATTGAATTTGGAGACACTAATACTTTGATTGAGTTATTTAAAGAACGCCAACTTAATGATAACATGTTCGCTTGAGATGTCCAGAAGGATGAATTTGATAGACTGTTAATTTTTTTTGGGTTGATGGGATTGGTAGGATAGATTATGAATGCTTTGGTGATGTGGTAATTTTTTATACAAGTTATAAGCTTAATAAGTATAATTTGGTATGCGCACCATTTGTCGGGGTTAACAATCATTGGCAAAATATTTTTCTTGGGGTGGCCTTCTTGTTCGAAGAGACAATTGAATCATTTACGTTGCTGTTTACAACTTTTGTGAGAATGATGGGTGATAAACATCCAAAAAATAATATATACAGATCAAGACCAGGCAATGGCTAGGGCCATAAAAGTTGCACTACCTCACAGTCACCATAGACTGTGCCAATGACATATCCGTAAAAAGGCTCCATCAAAAGTATCGTGCTACAATACCAAAATCAAAGTCAAAGGCCTCTTCAATAAGTTTTTGAGCAAATGTGACTATGAGGAGGAGTTTGAGAATGCATGGGCTGAATTGATTATACAAGGGAACCTCCAAGATCATGTTTGGTTGCAGGATCTTTATAGGATAAGGAATAAGTGGTCAACAGCCTTCAATAAGGATTGTTTTAGCATAGACATTCTATCCACACAACGTAGCGAGTCTACTAATAATATGTGTCATGGAATTTCTAAGTCCACAAGCTCTATAACTGATTGCTTTCTGGGTTTAGAGAAGGTGATGAGGAATTGGCGTCGAACTGAACAATATGAGGATTATAGATGCAGCCAGTTCAAAATAGAACTTGTAATAAGAAACTGCTCAATATTAAAGCAAGCTGCTCAATTTTATTCAAAGAAAATATATTCATTTTTTGAACAAGAATTTTTACACGGTGTTGGTGTAATGAGTATAGAGCTTGAGTCTTGTGATTCTTCTAAATTTTTTGTCTATTACACAGAGAAAAAGGATCATTCTAAACAATGGGTTGTTGATTTTGATGCACAAAATGATAACATTCAATGCTCCCGCAGAAAGTTTGAAATGATGGGTTTATTGTATTCTCACTGCATAATAGTTTTGAGGCAAATGGCTATTGGGAAAATCCTCGAGAAGTACCTACTATTGCGATGGTCAGCACGAGCTTGACAAGATATATATTCTGGCCAAAATTTGAAAGAAAATTCTCAGAATAGCTCTGAAGCTAGTAGTGGATTCATATTCAGAAATTATATCAGCAGGTTTTCATATGAAATGAGCACAGAAACGCAGCTGAATGAGGAGGGTGAAGAATTCCTATTGACCTCGATGAAGGATACATCTAATAAATTCGACCTGATTGTTTATGGGAAGAGAAAGAACAACAAGTCTACATAGGGTGGCAGTGTAAATCTGAAAGATCCTCTAAAGCGTAGGCCTAAAGGCATATCCAATGCTAGGCTGAAAAGTCACTAGGAAAAGAAGCCAAAGAGTATGATTTTATTTTTTGACTAATTTGATTTATTGTCTATTATGACAAATTGTTATTAAATTTTTTAACAGGGAAACCACCAGTGAAGAAAAACACAACAAAAATTTCTACTCTTTCAAGCATGCCCGAATGCTTAATGGAGGATTTCATAAATTCTGTACACTCCAAGCAACCATCAGCTTAGCAGTGTAATTTCACAAGCATGCCCGAATGCTTCACTGAGGACTTCATAAATTATGTATAGTCCAGTCAGCCATCAGCTACGCAGTGCAATTTCACAAGCATGCCCAAATGGTTCACCAATGACTTCATATCACAAGCATGCCCGTCTAGTCAGGTATCAGTATAGCAGTTTAGAAGCATACCCGAGTGCATGACCAATGAATTCATAGCTGGGGAACCGTCTAGTCAGCCATCAGTAAAGCGAGCAAAGCATTCTAATTTCACAAGCATACCCAAATGCTTCACTGAGGAACACATTAAAGGCGTAAGTTCAAAAAAGCCATCAGCAATGTACCTGAAGTTGATGATGGATATCATTAAATCAGAAAATTAAATGTAATAAGAATATTTGTATTATTGTCTTTGTAGTATTATTTATTTTAATAAGAATATTTTTTTTATCTATGAATTTTGATTTGCGTATGGCTTGCGTATGCAATGTGTCCTGGATGCATATATAGAGCATATGTAATGCATATTTTTTATGTAATCAAAATTTTATGTTGCCTGCTTCTATTATTCACGAGATGAAGATTTTTCATGATTATTAAAGAATTTTAACCCATTATCCTATAATTACAAGGAATCAAGGATCAATGATGTATGTATTGCGTATGACGTGCGTCCGGGATGTGTATACAAAGCATATAGAGTGTGTATTATGCAAAGCCAAAGAAAAACCTTTTAAATCACAAGGAATCAAGGATCAATGGCGAGATCATTAAATTAGAAAATTAAATGTAATAAGAATATTTGTATTATTATCTTTGTAGTATTATTTATTTTAATAAGAATATTTGTTTTATCTGTGAATGTTGATTTGCGTATGGACTGCGTATGCAATGCATCCTGGATGCGTATACAGAGTGTATGTAATGCGTATTTTCTATGTAATCAAAATTCTATGTTGCCTGCTTCTATTATTCATGAGACGAAGATTTTCCATGATTATTAAAGAATTTTAACCCATTATCCTATAATTACAGGGAACCAAGGATCAATGGCGTTTGTCTTGCGTATGTCATGCGTCCGGGATAGGTATACAAAGCGTATAGAGTGCGTATTATGCAAAGCCAAAGAAAAACCTTTTTAATCAGAAGGAATCAAGGATCAATGGCGAGAAACCCAATATTCAACGCTTCCTGATTCTTTTATTCACGAGACGAAGCATTCCAAACACCTTTGATTCTTCATAGATCTCTATTGATTACTAAAACAATGAAACATATCCCCCTTTCTCTAGAGCTATAACTTGTGTAGCACTAGGGTGTACACATATACTATGTTTCATTGAGAAAATTTTTATAATCATTTTATAATGATCCTAAAATGAGTATTTAGAGGATTCATATTGAAGGAATGCATTGAAACAATAAGTTTCTAATTAAATAATTTTTTTAAGAAAAAATCAAGGAATTTGATTTTCGTATGTATTACGTATGCCATACGTCCGGGATGTGTATACAAAGCGTATAGAGTGCGTATTATGCAAAGCCAAAGAAAAACCTTTTTAATCACAAGGAATCAAGAATCAATGGCGAGAAACCCAATATTCAACACTTCCTGATTCTTTTATTCAGGAGACGAAGCATTCTAAACACCTTTGATTCTCGATATATCTCTATTGAATGCTAAAACAATGAAGCATATCCCCCACTCTCAAGAACTATCACTTGTGTAGCACAAGGGTGTACACATATACTATGTATCTTTGAGAAAATTTTTATAATCATTTTATAATGATCCTAAAATGAGTATTTAGATGATTCATATTGAAAGAATGCATTGAAATAATAAGTTTCTAATTAAATTAATTTTTTTAAAGAAAAAATTATGGAATTTGATTTGCGTATGTATTGCATATGATGTGCATCCGAAATTTATATACAAAGCGTATGGAGTGCGTATTATGCAAAGCCAAAGAAAAACTTTTTTAATCACAAGGAATCAAGAATCAATGGTGAGAAAACCAAAGCTCAAAATTTAATGCTTCCATGTTCTCTTTATTGCATTTATTATGTTGTAATTTTTTTGGTTAAATTTTTTTAATAGATTGTACATAGATTCTCTTGTAAAATTATATTTGTTATAAATGTTCTTTTAATTTGTTACTTGTGTTTATTATGTGCGCATATTATGCGTATTGTATGCGTATTTCACCAATAATCAATGTTCTTATTAAATATCCTCTAATTAAATAAAAATATATAGATAAATCAAAGAATCTTTCTTTCGTATGGATTGCGTATGAAATGCGTCCTGAATGCGTATTATTGCGTATAGAAGGTGTATGAAATGCGTCCGGGTAATGTATCATAAGCGTATCGTGTGCGTATTTACTAAATCCAAAGAAAAACATTTTATGCACAGATATTTATAAAAATAATTTACATATATCAGTTCTTTACAAAAAAATACTATATAAAAAGTTCATTTCAATGCTGCACAGAACAATGCGTATGAGAATTCTGCCCTATATTTTGGCATTTTTTCCTTCCAATCTTTACTCTCTCCACTTGGTATTGTTTTTTCTAATAATATTTTCCATGTATTTGCAAACAAACATTCCGCAATCTATATTGTTTGACTAAGTTAGTGCGTTCTTGATTGTCTTGAAACTCCATTTGTTGATATCATCATCAAAAGATTTTTTGCAATCCCTATATAAGCTTCTAATCTTAACAATATATGGAATATAATTTAGTTCAATGAAAAATAATTTTGAAATTTATTAACAAAGATCTCATACTTACTATCTTTATAGCAATATTTCTATGCATAGGATTGGGAACAGAATCGTAAAATTCCCACTTTTTATGATCTCGAAACCCAACCAGAAGAGTATAGTGCGAACAATTAATAATTGGATTAAGTATAATGTTGCATGAATGAACATAATTGTAGTTTATGCATTCGATGAACAATTTTAAACTTGGATCCTTCAACTTGTAATACTGCAAGAATTAAAAATAAGAATAAAATATTCAAAATATAAAATTATATATAAATTAAACAAGTATACTAATCCAATACATTGGTGAGATGTATAGAAATTTATGGTACTTGAATGGGAAAATTTTAGCCTTCTCATTTAATAAAATGGCAAAGGAATATACATGATCATTGTCAAGGTAACCATCGGATAATATTTCATCCATCCCATGTCTAGAAATTATAACGTTCCCAGCTTGAAATATTGGATTGATACTGAAATCATTAAACATAAAATACGCATTAGGTACGCATATAAAACACAGTTCTTACGCAAGCAGTATGCACAAGTTACGCAATCAATACGCACACATTACGCAAGAAGTACGCACAAGTTACACAATCAATACGCACAAATTACGCACAA